CGATGCATCTTGTTGATTGCTATATTGTCCAATATCTTGGCGAATGAATATGATACATCAACATTAGTATTCCATTTGGTGTAGTACTGGTATTGAAATATTCTTTAACAAGCTAAACCTATCAATTTAATAGTAGTTATGCAAATAAAAAGTTCTATTTCCATTGCTGTATGATAAGATATCATCAATCAATCAATCAGAACCTGATTCCAATTCATGGGTATCATTGCTTGCATCATCCATTTGATGATCATCGTCTGAATGATGCTCAATTGTATTCTTCTCTTGAGAGCAATGACTGGAATGGGATTGATCCACCTTGTCGTTCTCTGTTGTTGTATCTGAAGTTGTTGGAGGTAGCAACTCATTACTATCTTGAATATGGAATTGTTGATCTGGAAGTGACGATAACGCTCGTTCTTCCGTATCTAAATGAACTTGTTTCATTTCATTGACATTGGTGTTGATGGATTCTATGCTTGCGATGTTGCTTTGACTTGGCTCAATCTTGTCATCATCAGTATCGCTTTGAAGTGATTGTAAATTGGTTGGATGATGTACAACACTCTCCTGTACTTTTTGACTATGATCGAATGGATGATCTACTTTGTGACTATGGTCGAATGGCTGAGCAGTCGTATCCAATGGCAATAGACTATGATCGATTGGAGGTTGATCTTTTTGTTGAAGACTTTCTTGGACGCTTTCTGTGATCGCTATTGCTTCGATTTCTGTTGTTTCATCCACTTGTTTGTTGGCAAGCGGTTGAGCACTATCGCTGTCCTTTCCATCTATGCTACTACTAGAATGATTACGTTTATGGGTAAGCTGATGACCGGTTTTAGTTGGTCGTTTGGTTGGACTAGTTATTGTCCGTTGTCCCTGGGCTTTTACACCACCACGTTTACTCGCCTCTTTCTTTTCCTTACTGATTGTTGGTTTACCTGTTGATGGCTTTTGCCCAGAAGAAGTGAGTGATTTGTTGGATATTGTCGCTGGTTTAGCCACCAACTTATGCAATGGAGTGGAAGGTGCAGAATCGTCTGTCCCTTCATTTAAATATGTATCCCATAATGAATTATCATCACCCAGTCGTTGTTTATTGATATCGCTTGGATCCAAGGCGATCTTACTACTTGAAGTGGATGGTGTTAACGTTGGCTTGGAAGTTTTATTGGCTTGATGTTGACTTTTGCGATCATGACGGACATCATGGCCTATGATCATAACCAACAATAAGCATTAATTCATGTATGGGCTACATCATTTGTACTATTTAAAACATAGCCTCTGCCGCTATAGCCTAAAATCACCATGGATAACCACTGGACTTGAAAGCATACCTATTATTTTGCTACTTTGATGGCCGGAAGAACTCGACTTGACATTGCCAGTGGAGTCTTCATCTTGAATATCTAACACGCGATCGATTTGTTGTTGTGCCTTAACAAAGGCACTCTTGGCAAAATCCAACGAACTAGTAGAAAACCAACTCATCTTTCTCTCACTGACTAACTTAATTAGACTACCCTACATGGAGTGGATGTTGAATGGATTCATTCATCCTATGCAAGCCATTGGATGGATGTTATCCATTGCCATCTTGGTGGGCAGAGATACCTAAGCGATGGATCGGAGTTGCAATTTTGGACGCTTGAAATGCCATAGTGAAAGGAGTATCGTGTTTGGGGATAACACATCAAGCCCATACTGTTCCTGTATTGCACTGATTTAGCAGTGAGTCAGAGCTGATACAACAACGCACCTGTGCACCGTTTTGCTGCTGGCGTAGACAAAGCCGTACAGTACAGAAGGGCTAGTACGGTACCAAGTACTGTACTAGTTCTTACTGTACACTGTAGCAAGACTGTACTGTACTGTACAGTGTACAGTATACAGTTGGCCTGAGTTTGGTCCGGTCCGGTTTGGCTCGGTTGAATCCCTTTATGATCTCTACTGAGTATAATACTGTACAGTACAGTACACACAGTCTCGTGTACAGTCTACAGTACAGTCTAGTACAGTCTAGTACAGTACAGTACTGTACACTGTAACCAGACTACAGTTGGCCTGAGTTTGGTCCGGTCCGGTTCGGCTCGGTTGAATCCCTTTATGATGTCTACTGAGTATAATACTGTACAGTACAGTACAGTACACACAGTCTAGTGTACAGTCTACAGTACAGTAGTACAGTACAATCTACTGTAGTACAGTACTGTACACTGTAACCAGACTACAGTAAATACTACAGTACTGTATACTGTACAGTACAGTACTGTGCTACTGTAGATCCTACTGTAGCAAGACTGTACAGTGCGCTACAGTGCTGTGTAGAAATGTATTCGATCCTACTGTACTGTACACTGTAGCAAGACTGTACTGTACTGTACTGTACAGTGCTGTAGAAATGCTTATTTTTACATGGAACGGTAGCACGATACAACACCGCACCTGTGCACCGTCTTGGTGTTGGCATGGTGGCTATAGCCACATACAGTAGACAAAGCCGTACAGTACTGAATGGCTGGCACGGTAACAAGTACTGTACACAGTATCCTACTGTACACTGTAGCAAGACTGTATACAGTATTGCACACAGTACAGTACAGTACAGTAGTTGCAGTACACGCTCCTGTCAATTTCTATTATTATACTGTACTCTACTCATGGAACCAACGATCAGGACGATAAGATGAACTAAAATAAAATGAATAATACACGCGAATTGATTAAAACTCGTGTAAAATTGGACATGCAAAGATTGAGAAAGGTCTAAATAATGAAAAGTTCGTTCTAGCAAGAAATCAATGGAATGAAATATCGCTCAACGTGAACGATAGAATTTGGTTTATAGAGCACAGTATTACTTTAATTGACCATCAACATACTCAATATACTGTACAGTACAGTACAGTACAGTACTGTACACTGTACAGTACTATTTTACAGTAACTGTACAGTACTGTACAGTACATCAATACAGTACAGTACTGTACTGTACAATTTATAATATAATTTATGCATCTATGCAAATACAAGTCTTTATCCATTCAAATAATGAAATTTTACTTTCGATGAACGTAATGCCCCAGTGGCACAGTAGGTTAGCGCGTTGTACTTATATGGCAGTATTGAAGGCGCCATAGACATGCAAAGGTCGAGAGTTCGATCCTCTCCTGGGGCATTGGCATCATTTTTCAACATCTTTGAAAAGAAATCCATTCGACGCCATCTCGTTATAGCATTTTCATAAAATTATACCCAATCGTAATTCTTTTTGATAAACTAGAAAATACCACAAGTCTTGACTATTTCATGCCTACATGGTTCTCCCTTAATAACGATACTTTTCCTTTTGACTGGCATACAAACATGGCAGTTCGCGTTTTCATTTCAAATAACAGTGGGTAAATGCATGATTAAGGAATGACTTGGTGGTCTACCAGTATTGCAAGGATCCCCTAGCTCAAGTCAATACAAAAAAGTTGCAAAACTTCATTCTATTACTAGACACTGATATGCTTGTGTGAGGTGATCCTTCTTGATTAATGCAGTCCATTCTTTTTATTTAGTACAGGGCGAGGGAGGGAACTGGAAATAAATATTCTTGTGACATGCTTTGCTGTCTTCACATGGACAGTACTGACAAGAACGTTGCAAATTAATTTTCCAAAAAGAAGGAAGAAACCCGACTCAAAACTTTTTCTTCAATAAGAAATTAGGATTTATATGAATGGATTCTGAGCAGCTGATTTTTAGGCTGCAATTATTCCAAACGCCTTATTTCTATACATAAATACCCAAACTATCGTCTTACAATGGCGTACTCAAAGATTGTGGCAGCAATATACAGTTCATTTTAATTTAATAACCAATGGAACGCTACAGTACCTGGTCTCAAGACCGAAATGTCATACAGTAGTTTATTTCAAACTGATTTTGCGGGTTAACGTAGTTCAAGGTATGGATATCCTTGACAACTCCGATTACAGTTCAATCATCTGCCCCCCTCTTCCTGTAGTTAGCGATAGAAGTGAATGTCAACAGATAATCATGACGTCAAAACTACCCAATGGATTTCTTTCCTGCTGCAATCTCAACTGTAAACAATTCTAATTTTATCCCAACATCATCGTAGTTTATTTGCAAAATTGAAACAACGTAGGGTATAAAATTTGCAGTATTTCTCTTCCGATCCTCCAGGCCAGTTCGTTTCTCATTGCTGCATGATCAGCGATAACATTACCACAACGAATGTATACGATCGATTGAATGAATCAAAGTGCCATCCATTCACTTTCATGTCAGATAGATGTTATAGAGGAATGAACGAATTCTTCTATTGCCAATAGACGCAAGTCCGCCTAATTTTCACCCTTTAATTTATACGGTATCGTGACGTCAATCTGTCCAGTGAAGTGAAAATACTCCAGTAATATGATTGTAATCATTTCCTAAAAGTAACTTTAATTTAGTATGGTAGCTACTTTTCTAATCTTTGTAGTTGATACAGTATCAATTGAAATTAGAAGAAAAGTCTACTTTAAAATTTTTGAAATGGAGATTCGTACGCAACACAGTAATAAACATTTACACGTATATTTATTTCTTCAATAATATTCAAGTCCTATTTAATCGAGAACAGGATGGAAGCTACGCTTCTTGAGTTAAAATGATTATGGTGCGATGAGTCATATACTTAAAATCAATCAATTCAATAAAACTTTACAGGGGGTTCCATTCAATGTCATGGTCGTAATCCCTGCTGCAATAATGATATAAAATTGATAAATAAATAATATATTATTGTTACACAACATCACACAGCGACCTATTCTGTTACATAGACGAGCAGTCATTGCTCCGAAACAGCTTCAGAATATGTTAACGGCGGCATGATATTACATCTACTAGTAGTTGTCAAATCAAATTCAGTAGTAATGTAATCAATTATTGCGTTCTAGTTATATCTTGCAAAGGAGAATGTCAAACAGTAATTACTAGTATGGCGTATAAATTCCATTACCAGCAGTACCCATGTAGGATAGCCAAGGTTGAGAAGTTACATTTAGAAAATTGACTTGAAGCGAAACACTACAAGAGGGTACTACAAAATTACTATCGGATGTCACACACTTAAAATTGCCATCTAAGGAAGATTTCGATATACTTAAGACGTAACTATCCATCATTCCATTGGAAACTTTCCATGACATTGTGCTTATAATCCAAAAGTGATTGGTAATCTTATCAAAACCAGCAGCGGTTGATGAATATTGCATTTCAATAACATCTCCTTGAGGAGGTAAAACAGTATCCAGTAGCAGGGGTGAATGCGAATTATTTTGCAAATTATGAGCACCCAACAACAGTGCCTGACTGCATGTCGAATTGTCGGAGTAGGCTTTGCAACTTGTGTTGCCTAAATAGGGAAGCAAGTATTTCTTTTAGATATTTTTATATTATCTATCGTAAAAATCCAAAATACGCTCAGTCAATGATTGCAGTTGTTAAATAAAACTTGTTATGATAAACATTTTCATTTAGATAAATACCTGAAAACATTACTGGGTAAATAAATACATCACTACTTTCATTGGATGTAGCAACGGAAATGATGTTACTTGGCATGTAATTTAACTGGGATTGCGTTTCATCGCCACCCGCAGATAAAATTTTACCATTGTAGCCATTAATGATGACATAGTCATTCAAGTCTTGATTAATGACCTTGAAGTTAATCATAATATCCGGATAGATGTCGTTGTTGTAATCGCCTGGAGCTGGAAGACTAAAAACACCAACGAAATAACATCATTAATTTAGCTACCAAAATGGCACTAGCCTTACAATTAATTTCACTTCAAAAATGAATTTCTACAAATTTACTGGCTAAATAATGAGCTGATTTGTAAAATTTGGGCATTAGTCGAGCCTTAATTGACCATGATCATAAAAATTTTTTCAGTAATCAAGAAATTTGTTTTGATTATAAAAAAATATTTTTAAGGCATAATAAATACACTTCTCTGTTTTCAAGAGCGGGCGCAACAATGATGTAATATAGATAAATAATATAGAGAAGATAGACGCTCAACTTTCATTTACATTGGAGAAAAATAGGATAACAAAATTGACGATTACTTCTTTGTGTTATAGTAAATGGTATAGCTCAGATATTCAATTTAGATGGAATAGAAGCTTAGTCACTCTACAGACAAAAAATGCAGAGAGAAATCTACCCACTAAATATCTTGTGAAATATAGTGCGAAGAGTCTTGGACAATAGAAACTATCGTATGCTACCGACTTGCTCTTGCTACAGTATCGAAAGTGCTTTCGAGTAAATGGTCAATAATTAATTCTATAATTAATAGCTGAAAATGACGAATTTGGTCATTGATCAAATTGGATACTAAAGTCTTGAGATAATCGTCTCAATTTCTACACTATCAATTAAAATCCTCCTGATTTCGACTTACTTGACAATACTTGAGTGACGGAGGTGAACAACCCAATATCGAGCCATTGTTGCACCAAGCGTGGCAATAATTGTGCCATTAGTGAAAGTTGTTATAATATCTTTCTGACCATCGCCATCGAGATCGACGAGAATCGAAGGCCATTTCATCATTCCACCTTGAATTAAGAACTGAGTGCTCATATCATTGCTGCCTGTAGCAGTATGGATACGGGATAAATCTCTAACGTTCATATAGGAAACTCGACTAGACATATTGCGAAGAAAGACACTGAAATAAATAACGGCTTGATTGTTATATCGGTGATCGATAATGAGGGAATCGGCGATAAATTGTTCGTCTTTGACCGCAACTGATCTATTTATAACACTTCCCATCGTTGCCGATAAGAATAACCAATACCTACTCAACATCGAATTCTCATACGTATTACAAGCTAACATAATGTCTTGAAAAGAATCTTGATCTACATCAGGTATGATAGCTGCAGAGTTGCAATAATCAGCATGGCTAACATCGTGGATGCGTCGATTCCATAGTACCGTTAACGACGACGTTTCAATAGCAAGAATATCGCCTGTAGACGTCGCTATTAAGCAATCGAATGGATAACCTCGATCTGTAGGAGGTAAATGGCCTTCAGGACAGAATAACAGTGTCACGCTGCCGTTTAAATCCAATTTCCATAACTGGTGTCCGTTGGAACTATTCAATGCTAGCAATTGTTGGTGAGGACCTTGGTCAGATAGGATCGAAGTGTGGTTCAGACTAGCAGTCATCAGAACAACATAGTCTTGACTTTGGTTCGTTAGCAAAAGTTGAATAGGTGAATCGATGGAATAATTATGAATACTTGTAGACCATATCCTGCGATCACTAGCTGATGGACATGGTATAGCAAATATGAAGACAATGATCGCTGCAGCAGCAAATAAAATGGATAAATTAAATAATGCTCTCGATTTATTGTCCAACGGCTTTCGGACTTTCTTGCTAGGACTAGGAGTTGATTCAGTATCTTCCATTTTATTATCCTTTGTTATACCAAGATCAACTTGTGGAGCTGCATGACTTTCTACTGGTGCTACTACTTTTACAACTTCGATCGATGGGGATAAGCTTAACATCTTCCTTGCTAAGAATAAACTTGATCTTGATTTTCCTTCGTGCAAGGCAATAAAAAAAAAAGATTTTAAATCAATACATCAGTCAACACTGGTATTTATATAGTCTGCTAATTCATTCATCATTCTGCGCATGAGTAGGTGTGGCTTTCAAGCGGGCGTCATCAATCCTAACCCTAACTCTATCACGCAAATGGGCCCCCTACTTCGGTAGATTTGCATTTTCCTACCTACAGAGGTGGTTTTTCATCATCATCATGATTGCAGTCTATGCTCTTACCCTTCTTCCATTCTATTTCTCCCTCAGAAATGGAGAAAAGAAAGCATTTATAACTCTTAAGCTGCTGTAGATGCAACTAGTATAACGCTTTCACAATGCACAAACTACAATACATTGGTTGAGCAAATGGGTCCCCCCGACTTCGGTAGATTTGCATTTTCCTACCTACAGAGGTGTTTTTTCAACATCATCACGATTGCAGTCTATGCTCCTACCCTTCTTCCATTCTATTTCTCCCTCAAAAGCATTTATAACTCTCAAGCTGCTGTAGATGCAACTAGTATAACGCTTTTACAATGCACAAACTACAATACATTGGTTGAGCAAATAGGCCCCCGACTTCGGTAGATTTGCATTTTCCTACCTACAGAGGTGTTTTTTCAACATGATCATGATTGCAGTCTATGCTCTTACCCTTCTTCTATTCTATTTCTCCCTCAGAAATGGAGAAAAGAAAGCATTTATAACTCTTAAGCTGCTGTAGATGCTACTAGTATAACGCTTTTACAATGCACAAACTACAATACATTGGTTGAGCAAATGGGCCCCGACTTCGGTAGATTTGCATTTTCCTACCTACAGAGGTGTTTTTTCAACATCATCACGATTGCAGTCTATGCTCTTACCCTTCTTCCATTCTATTTCTCCCTCAAAAGCATTTATAACTCTCAAGCTGCTATAGATGCAACTAGTATAACGCTTTTACAATGCACAAACTACAATACATTGGTTGAGCAAATGGGCCCCGACTTCGGTAGATTTGCATTTTCCTACCTACAGAGGTGTTTTTTCAACATCATCACGATTGCAGTCTATGCTCTTACCCTTCTTCCATTCTATTTCTCCCTCAAAAGCATTTATAACTCTCAAGCTGCTGTAGATGCAACTAGTATAACGCTTTTACAATGCACAAACTACAATACATTGGTTGAGCAAATAGGCCCCCGACTTCGGTAGATTTGCATTTTCCTACCTACAGAGGTGTTTTTTCAACATGATCATGATTGCAGTCTATGCTCTTACCTTTCTTCTATTCTATTTCTCCCTCAGAAATGGAGAAAAGAAAGCACTTAGAACTCTCAATTTGCTTTAGATGCAACTACTTAGTACATTTTTACTATGCACCAAGTATCGTACATTGGTTGAAAATCTATCGTACTAGACTGTATTACACAATCTATCTACTGAAGTCTATACAAATCAACTTATCAACCGATATGATTCTGCCTAGTGATGAACAAAAGTAAATTCTGAAGGATTCTCCATATAAGGTCATGCAATATTACGTCATGCTAAACTAGGTTTGCAAACTGCAAAGTAAACAGTGGAAAATGTCAACACTGCAGTAGGTTTGCCTCGATCAATTAGTTAGTTCCTCGATAGCTACAGTATACTGGATGATTTATTGATTTACAGGTACATCGTCATTACAGCACCAAGGACTGCTCAACCAGACAACCACCCAACTTCACAAAAATTGAATCAACTAACTTTTTGTTAAGCTGGGGAGGTCGATGAGTCGTGACAGTGTACCTACAACTCCAGATATAGGTAGCAATTACAAGGGCTATAGAAAGTTACAGACACTGGACGATTTATTCATGTGGCAATGCATCCTACTTTGCCTGCAACACGATAAATAAGTACGTAGCAACACAGGCTACAGCAGGCATCGATCGTATCATTGCATGGACAGGAGAACAACAAATTTTTACATTCATCTCATTTTTCTCATCATAGAATAGGAACAATCGTCTAGACGATAAAATACCTTAATAATGCGAGATACATCTGATTTAATTTTTAACAACTTTACGGCAGAGAATAAGTATCAAAATGCGTCAGCAGAATAGCATGCATACGCATATGCACCTGAAACAGATCAAACTCCACTGTAGGGCGTTAAAAAACCATGATAAAAACAAAATAACTTTAAATAACTGTCACTTATTTGGTATAAATTATATACGAGCGTACAGAGACTATTTAGAGATAGTGCAAATTCAATTGAAAAGATTTCGAAGCCCATCTGAAATAAAGCCAGCTTGGTATATTTGCGCTGTTTACGATCTTTGTAACTTGGTTTTAAGAGAACTGCGTCAGCTAATAATACAAAAATTTATAGAGCAGTCATTTATAATTGTCACTAAAAATAAAGCTTAGTTTAAAATAATTTACGTCCATAAGCTTACACGTGTACACCAGTAGATATAATCGCTAGTATTGAACTATTAAATAATTTATCCGTATTGTAAAATTCTATCGAATCACACTTTGTTAATAACTTGATAGTGAAAAAATATTCATTTTCGGTCGAAACTGAACTCCGTTACCGTAGTAATCGCCAAAATCAAACAATTTCCTACAGTATTACCGCTGTAGATCTGGTGGGAGGTTATCTTCGTACGAATTTTGCAGGTCCCTCTCTATGCATAGCTTAACATCCATTAGATGAATTTGCTCCTATCCAAGCCATACATGCGAAATTGAACAATTGATGTTAATTTACAATCAAAGGTGTAGTAGAAATACGTACAACTAGCAATAATCATTAAGGGCATACCAATAGGCCTGTATCTCGATGTCGCAGTTTTACATCGCCATATTTAACAGTATTATCGTCTATGACAATGCAGAAGAGAGTTCCCATTTCATCGTGACTGTAGAAAATAATTTAATAAAGGTAACATTATTAAGCGTCTGAACATCGAGAACTTACTCTCAATTATATCTCTACTGTAAGAAGGTACTTCTGCTAAATCGGTATACGGTTACTTACTTTTTGTAACATTCCTCTAAACATTTAGCACTTTCTATCCAAGTAACTATTTCAGCGCTATTTAATTTCTTAGCTAAATATTCCGCAAGCTGATACGCCATAGAAATGCAATATCGAACCATTGTTAAGACATCTCAAGTATGGATCATGAACTAATTTAACCAATTTCACCAAATATCCAAAGAGTTACCTCTACAAAGTGAATCCTGTCCGTATTGGGGTGAATGATAGCTGCTTTAATCGGAGATAGTCGCGGATGTAACTTTAGTGACTAAAAGTTAAAATTAAAACTTTTGACTTGGATTTATTTCATTATCGAAGAATATCATGGAGTAGTTGTTGACTTCTATGTTCTCAGTTATCAAGTAATAGTATTAATTAATCTATTCTACCTTAAAGCCATCTTTACTGGCACCATTAGCATGCATTAACTGCCTGCAGTGATATGAATCGATAAGGTAAGCCAATACTCCTACACAAATAACATTATAGTGTACGAGTTAAAATATAGGACGGTGCACCTTTGACTAATTGCGTAATTCTTATTCCAAAATCAAAGCTGTTACCTTGAGTCATGTACGACGAACATGTGATTGAATGAAAATTATTACTATTACATATATTTTTCTATAAATAACGAGTCAGAATAATTCTTAGTAAAAATAAACTAAAATTAATATGGAAAGAATTTAGATATAACCTCAATTTCATTGCTATCTTTACAATATGAAATATCTTCAACAGTTTCCTTATAATTATTGTACGATAGCTAGCAAAAGTAAAAACGAGAATGCATGGAAAAATATTATCTTGATTTTTACAAGTCTTTTAACCGTTGGAGCAACAATTAATGACTACAGTATAGCTATCAATACGCTTTAAAGTGACGTCTAGTAGGTAAAGAATAATTCTGATAAACACTATCTACACGTATATATAAAATTAGCAGGCTTATAATTTATCCGTCAAATTAACATACCACTATTCTTGCTCTATCGTAAGTCTTACTATCATCAAAGCTGTCCTCTTCCAGGACAAAACGCCCAGGTCTATTAATAGATAACTGCCAAATACCAAGTCAGTTCATTTAATACACAATGGTTTAACTTGTAGCAATATATACAGTGGATTGCATAAATTTACTTAATTATGGCTTACTTTTCTCCACCAAGTTGCTCTTTCCTTCTTCCAAGTATGATACCATAACTGTGATTCTTTAGGTGAGCAGTAAAATCTTAAAAAGGCTTTGAAACTTTCACCGCCAGATACGCTATTAATCTCTACGTTACGAAGTGAGAAAGCGAGTAGAAAGTAAATGACTTATCAAAGTATTTATAACATTTCAACATTCAGTTAATACTGTAGCTGGTAAAGCAATATTATGATAAACACACGCAACGTCCATTTACTGTATCAATACGATGCAAATGTTGCATAGCAGCGCTGATAATTGATTTAATTTCATCATACCATATTATTATGATTATGTAAAAATGGTTAAAACAGCACATCAATATTACACGTAGTATTTGTAAAAATATTGGATTACGTCGAATTAGTACAAAAGGCAGCGCAGGATTCATCATTTTGATAGAATTTTGTCTTGATGTTAAACCATCCCTGTAATTTTATTTGCGATAAAGCATTTCACATATTAATTAAAGTCATTCACTGATAAAATTGGCTAATATCATCCGTGGATGTCATAACTAATGAATATTTGAAACTCTAAACGTTTTAGAGCAACAGATAATATTAGTACGATGTAGAATCTTATCATGTATCACTATCCAATCTCGGAGGTATACGCGTACCTATCCAAGTTCCAAAAGTGCAGTAGGCTGTTCGAGCTATCAGACAACGATTTTATGTTATCCTAATATTCAATAATGAAAATTTGATTAACGAAAGATAATAATTTGAATATCATCAATGTATAGTAAAATCGGCTAACATTAATGGGTGTTATTCACCGAGCTTCTTCTCAAATTTTACTAGTACAGGATCCTTATTTTAACATTTTCCTAATCAAACTTTGGGCTTACGTTTAGACCTTTATCGAGTGTAGTCGGCTGAATTTCCAAGACGTTGCAAGCTTTACCACGAATAATAGAAATGGATTTTCGCCTAAATGTAGGAAAATATTAAATATTTTAATATTTACCCAAAGCATAATCACCAATGCTTATTAGTCATTGGTCGCAACGTCTCAACAGTCATTAGTTTGGATGCACTGCATACACTAAGCGAATAGCTAGTAGTCATATTTAACTTACCACGAAGTAATGAAATTAATCAATTTAAATATGCTGTTATCTACTAAGGGTACAACCTAAATTTACTGATCCGAATGCTAATTTTACATAATTGAATCTACCTCCAGTATGATTAAATAGTGTAGAATATACGTATATCATTAGCAATGAAGTATGTGCTTGATTTTGATTTGACTCACCATTCTTGGTAAAGATTTCTCATTAGTAGTATGCCAAGAGGACCCAATTTGTCTTCATTCGTTCCAATTAAGAATAAACCTCGTCGCGAGAGATGGGATAAGATATCTTTCATTTCATAAGCCATGACTCTAAGCGTGATAACAAATTTTTTAGTTAATGTACAATGCACCATCTGCGTTGCATACTGTATTTCTTAAATTAACTAGTTACAATTACGAAATAATGGTCAGACAGCAAATGGTGATTGCTAATCTCAACTTTAGTTGAACTTGATTTCAAATAGTTAAAAACTGTCATGTCACTGCTAATTTTTATAAAATCGATTTTAAAACTCGATATTCCGGCATCCCCTATCCTTGGTGGAAGAGTTTGACTCTGGAAACGTTTGTTGGCAGCTGCACGCTTAGTCTCCATTTTAAGCAGCATGGCAGCCGCGTACTACACATACTACTAAACTGGAGAGCAACAGCAAACGAGTTTATACTATACGCTAATCATGTATAAGAACCGTTTTCTATCCAATTGACAAGATCCGCTATAACATTTCCTTTTCAATCCTCTACATCACCAACTTAATTGGGTACTTTACCTGGCAAAAGGTGCGAGATAATTGCACAAACGATAGCTGCTACTAGGGAGTTGCAGACATGATGGCACGATTGGCTGTCATAAATTCGATGGTTTACTTAATAGTGCCGGCCAATTCTTGAACTTTCTATTAACAGATGCAAGCTATAGTACGTTTGCTTTCCACTGCACAAAGCTTAAGCATAAATTCCTATTTCAAGTCCAGTCGATGGTAGAAAACTTAGCCCAACAAACTTTTGCACCATCATCCAAAGACGATCATAACGATAGACTATGCTAAGGTGTTTGCCTCAGCAGGTCCGATGCGACTAGCTAGACCAGCGTAATACCATGTTACCGTACAGTAGTCAAAACTGTATTGGTTCGTATAGGGCTAGGTCGCACAATAAGATTCTCTACCAAATGAATTGCTGGAACAAGAAGACCGTGCAGGTACGCGCTGGGCGGTGGCTATGCCCGAAATTTCCAAAATTTGGAAGGAGAGTTTGGAACGATGATGCTATCCAATTTCTTTTCCATTTATCACGGTATAAATCACCATGAAGGGTAAATGACTCAATTTACAGGTTCTTATTTGTAGATGGAGATAACTAATAATGACTTACAGTAAGAACTACGGTAGTTAGTGTTTTGTTGCAGTAAATTATGCTGTACTGTAGTATGAGATCTCATAAGGTAATTAATATGTTAATATGTTAATGTTAATTAATTATGGTTACTACTACTACGATAGTTAGTGTTTTATTGCAGTAAATTATGCTGTACTGTAGTGAGAGATCTCATAAGGTAATTAATATGTTAATATGTTAATGTTAATTAATTATGGTTACTACTACTACGATAGTTAGTGTTTTATTGCTGTAAATTATGCTGTACTGTAGTATGAGATCTCATAAGGTAATTAATATGTTAATATGTTAATGTTAATTAATTATGGTTACTACTACTACGATAGTTAGTGTTTTATTGCAGTAAATTATGCTGTACTGTAGTGAGAGATCTCATAAGGTAATTAATATGTTAATATGTTAATGTTAATTAATTATGGTTACTACTACTACTACGATAGTTAGTGTTTTATTGCTGTAAATTATGCTGTACTGTAGTAAGAGATCTCATAAGGTAATTAATATGTTAATATGTTAATGTTAATTAATTATGGTTACTACTACTACGATAGTTAGTGTTTTATTGCTATAAATTATGCTGTACTGTAGTAAGAGTTCTCATAAGGTGATTAATGTTAATTGATTATAGTCTTGGAACGCTTATGATGAATATCCTGAAGATATTCAATTAAAGAGGATACCATAAATAATAATTCTGTAGAGTATATAATGGATCCGTTATGGTAGTAATGACGATATTTAAATAAATGTTTAGCTGTGCCAAGTATGATACAATTATCTATTATACTCTAGTTCGATCTTCCTCAAAAAATAGCCTAAGTAACCGTTTATGTTGTTGTAGAAAGATGTGTGTGTACATAGATTTGTTGATAGGATATAAACTGATATATGATGGCAATTTAAGGATGGCAAATTATAACGTCAGTTTTTCAAGTCTATAGAATATCATAACGCTTTTAAATCTTGCTTAATAACAATATTTATTGCTGATAATTTCGTAGTGGAGGTAGCATGCTGGTACAAATGAAGGATAGATTCATGAAAGCTTAGCGTTAGATGCACTACTGTATGAATACGATTTTGAAAACGTTTGTTACAGTAATTCATTATTCTGCTTGCTACTTAATATCATACGACGCTTTAGGGAATATTACTTTAAGATTCTAAAGATATTTAAGATTTATCAGCGAGTATAAATTAGCATAAGCAATAACGGAACTGGTTTTCTGTTTCTGTTATAAAAGTATCTTGTTCTTACGCAAGTATATACAGTTGATAAATAAACTTTAAATGTCGGTTTGATAGACTATTAAGTCTAAAATAGCAGTTTTCAATTAGCTTTTGTTCACAAATTAGTTTCGAGCATATAAAAGCAAGTTATGTATAGCCGGTACAGTATATAACTCTTGTTTAATTAAAAATTAATGGTCTTCGTTATCTCATTTTCTAATCCTCAATATTACCAATGAATCACCAGTAATGGCATTATCATGCAATAATGCAAATATATCGAATTCTTTTGATTTTTATTTATGTATTTAAATCTCATGAATGTTTGATGCTTTAAAATTACTTTAAATTTTACTTGTTCGTGCTACAAATAAAAATAATAGATCTATATAGTACGATGTTAAGGCCTATTTATATATAGATGTAGTAATAATTTGTATCTTTATATCGAGGGACTGCAAATTACTGTAAAAATCAGTAAGCAAAATATGTCCTCAACATGCCTAGAGTATTGAAATGTACTGTATACTATTCATATTATCTGGTATGGTATAATTGAATGATTATTTCGCACGTATTTATTTTCGAACAGCAGTAAAATGGAATAAGCTATCGTACAGCATTCATTTGCATAAGTATAGGACAAGAATTTAAGGAGAATCTATAAGATATTACGGAAGCCCTATTTAAATCTCTTCGTTTCTGCTGCATTAAAATAGCTTCGTATCTAAAACTGGATATTAATTCCGCCTTACATTTAGTAAAAATCTAATAATAGCTACTTTGATTGAACGTACACCTACATATTGTGAGATATATTGATATAAACATGAAGAGCTCAAAGCAAACTTATTTAATTCATCGAACGTTGGTTAATAGTATCCCAACAATATAGTTATTTATTATAACACATAATTAATTGATGACAGCTTTCATAGATACCAGTTAGTGGAGAACTCCCCGCTAACTGATACATAAGTATCTTAAGTTACTTCTGCAGCAAAATACTTTCTAACTCATTTCAGGAAAAAGAACTTTAGATTAATTACTGATAGATTCATCTGCATGTTTATTCTGTAATCATTACGGCCATCTTCTAATGTATCGAAAAAGATTATAAAAAATAGAACGACTCCCACTCAAGCAATTCAAAGAATAATTAAAATTCATTATGCTAACTAAACTGAGTATTATCACTGATTTTCCTCGTATTTCAGTACGAATATTATAAGCTTATTACTTTGATTTTAGTATCGGCCAATACAGATATTTCATGAAAGAAAATAGCATGATAATTTACTAATACGGACATTGATTAAATAACTAAATACAAAATATATGGTAAATGAATAAATAATTTATTTACTATTTACGGACAGCATGCAGTCCGACTATAAGCTCAAAATTTAATGTTTGTGCTCCTTCAAACAAAGAAAAAGCTGCTTGCTGCTTGCTGCAGCAATCAATTATTCTGATGTCGCATCTTATAATTAAATTTGTAAACTGCATCCAATATATAAACTTTATGCGGTGAAAATTGGATGCATAATTGATAATATAATCAGTAGATCAGATTTTGATTAATCGTTATTCACAATTACGACTTTGAGCTGAAACCATATTAAGCTAAATTTCTTCTCTAAATTATTAAATTCTAGCAAGCATTGAGCATTTTCGAACTCGGATTCTGCAATATTCTATGTCCGTTTTAAGATATACTGTAAAATATTTTAGAGGAGCAAGGCAATTTATTGTAATTTAAATCCCATATCAAAGGTTTAGTGATTATGCACTGTTACGATGCATAAGCTCGTCCTGATGAAGACTACTTTTTAGTTAGTTAGTCGGTTAGATAGTCAACTAGTTTATCAATTGCTATTGAATTGTAACGACTATAATCTTGGGTGTCAAGATTTCTTCAGTAATAAATAGTAGTAAATCTCTGACTACCTCGTCTACACTAACAGTGACGCTATAATTGCACTATATTATTCGGTCGTTGGAACTGAACTATTCGGTGATATAGCTAATCTCGCCTCTTTAAGTCAGTAAGTGGAGTTCTTCGTAAGCATTGACGTGTGTAGACTACTTTGCCACTAGTGGTGCGTGACATGCACATAGGTGACAAAAGTGAAAGAGATGCTTTAAATATTAGAATAATTCCATTCATATGCATAAACATTGCAATTAATTGTATAGCAGTATATACACAATTATGTAACTAGGCAATTATAAACTAATAGTCTTTTGATATTACAGGATTAAATTTTTGCAAAAATATACATAATCCGCTTTTCTAATTTCTACGTCGGGTATTTTAATTAGTGAAAACTATTCGACCCTTATTGTTATTTTAAAATAAATCTTACCTTTCAACCGGAATTGATTCATTTCTATATGAATATGATAGACTTTGCGTATCGGAAAATCTATAGTACCTCCTTGACTTTCTTCGAAGTGTTGATGTCACGTTCTGTGATAGTTACATAATTAGTATGTTACCTTCTTTCTATATATGGTTAAATATCACGATGTTATTATCACGTCATGCGTATATAGATGTAGTTATGGTACTATATTAAGCTTATCTATATATGTATTCTCATGTTGCCATACTCGGTGTGATATTCTATTTGTAATGTCTAAACTAGGGAAACCTTTCTCTTAGTGATGATCTTGGGATCTACGCCAGTAGATCAAAGGTCACAAAAATGAAAGTATATAAACTCATTATTTTAACAATAAAGTTATTTCTTCAACTTAATTATTGGGTCTCCTTACTGAGTGCAGATCTAGTACTTGTTACAAAATTTGGAAGTTGTAACAGTTGACCATCTGAAATTAATTTTACTCTGGAATTTATACATTCCTATTTAAAAGCGAATAAACGATACTGCTACTTACTAATAGTTAATTTTGACAAAAATTACAGTCTACAATATTTATATTAGAATTGAAACACCAGCTATTCAAGTAGGATAAAAAGGCTGAATGCGATACCCAGATTTTACGTCTAATAATACAATGAGTTATTCTCTGTTATAAGTAATGACGAGATAAGTCCTCATACCTCCGATCATATTCAGTCAATGATAGCTACTTTCATGATAAATGTGTGAAGATAAATTACTCATGATCATCATATCATAGTAACATCAGTTTAATTAATTAACAAATGATTTGTGCCAGGAACAAAAGTAGGAATGACTTTATTTCGAAATTTGATCCTTTATTAACGCTGCTAGAAACTGCCCAATTACATTAAACAAAAAGCAATAACCGATAGAAACGAAACATTAGAGACAATAGAAAACTTTATATTTCATATCTCTCAGATATCCCAGTATCACTTATAAAATTGCAATCATAGCAAAAATTGGATATTATGGCTTAACTTCTCTTTCAATCATAAAAGCAATCTATAAATAGCACGGCGTCTTTATGATAATACTTCATTGTAGAATGATAGAGAATAGTTAAGAGTTCCTTTATCAACGAATATTTACGAACTTTGGTTGAAATATGAATTTAATACGGTACTGCTATTATAACAATGAATATGCAGATGTAAGGGATATTCCCATACACAATTTATAAATAGAGTAGGCTAATTGAAATTGTATTTTGAAAAAGTCCAAAACATTAGATATGGTATTTTATTTTACGGCAGAAACAAAAATACATGAAATGAAGTCGAAATTAAAATCATTATAAATTAAGTGTATTGGTGATCGCTATTTTTAAAGTATACTAGTAAAATTTTCGCTTAGAGCCAATTTACCTTTAAGTTATTGCTTCCATTCCACCAATATAAGATTATTGCTCTAGAGATCTTAATTTATTAAGTAAAATGCGGATTTATATCGAAAACAATAACAAGTATAATTATTTTCTGAAATGCATAAAGGCAAATATGGTACAAATTAAGCTCTAGGAATAATATCGGAAAGTAATTCGAATTTTATAATGAGTGTAAATGCATTCCTACATATTTTATTAATAAGAAATTTTAAACATTTAAAATTATTAAACTTGAAGCACTTCATAATCGCTGTTAATGCTACTACAGCTCGGTAAAAAATCAGATTTTCAAAAGGATTGTAATAAAAAAATGAATAGAAGTTTTAATAAAGCAAGCAATGCAATCGAACATACTGATTATTAAACAAAAATTAGGATAAGCTAAGAAATAATTTATTGTTGGAACTGACAGGATAAGTGAATTTTTCTTTTGTCATCCAAAACTTTGCTAATGCTGCTCACAATTTCTTCCATTTTTGATGCACTAATAATACTCTGGAATAGATACTAAACCTTATATATCGTTAATCTAATTTTCTCAATTTTAAAGAACAAGTAAAACATCTCAATAATACTGTAAAATATCATGACATTTATTCTTCTTTAGTTAAAGACATTCCAATATCTTCTTAAATGAGGAACTTCTTTAGAAAGTAAAGGTAATTCACATCGCAATAATCATTTAAGTATTCAGTGAAACGAAGAACTAATTCCCAATGGAAAAATGTAATCATCAAACTTTATCTATCTTATAGTTGATCGCATTAACTTCAAATCATCGAAAAGCAAGGCTAAGGTGGTACTTGTTCACATGTAAGTCATTCATATGGAATCAATGATTGTATCTATTAAATCTATCATATGGTAATTTATGTAATAACAATAATTTATAAAAATTTCAATTAAAAGATTTACTGCGTTATTACTTTGAATTAATTAATTAATTTATTTTTACTCGTATCTTTAGATTTTTCTTTATAATTCTTTATAAATAAATTTCGTTTAAAAATGATACCTTGTTTAGCTAATTGACCGTTATTTTTACTTTAGTATCAAGGATAACACATAAAAATATCTAATTTCTCGCTATTGATTTAAGCGACAACAAGATATCGAGTGAGAAAAAAATATTTAAGTACAAATTAAAAGACCACACGTTTGAGATGTAAGAATTTTATCATTTAGTATTTCATGGACGTATGTTGATAGATAAACTTATTGAAGATGCTTCTTTTTGACTGATTTCTTTTCAGCTCACCATTGAAGTAAAGAGTCATGCTTGGAAAATCAACAGCAAATCAATCAATTTTTCTTATATCCTCCTACAACAGAACTAATCCTGTGCCATTAACATCAATTCAAATTACGGCTGTTATTGGTACCTTTCTAAGTATGATTAGCTTTCTTGCGAATGGTTATGTGCTGTATATTATTTATGGCAATAAAGAAATGAGATCAGGAACGTACTACGGATTAATTAATGTATCTATCGCCAATTTATTGGTCGCCGCTTTCTATCCCTTTACGCCAATTTTTATGCTAATCACGTATAATTCACCTTTGAAACATTCTGTATGGATAACGTATATCATGTGTAGTGTTACTGTACCAATTGCTATTGTATCATTAATGGTAGCTAATAGCACTTTAGCATTTATTGCTGTAGAGAAGTATTATACATTAAATCAAGATTGTACGTTGAAAAGAAAGGTCAAAAAAAGTAAAATATTTGCAGTATTAGTCGGCTTATGGTTTATAACAATGATTCAACATTGGCCTCGTACTGTTCTAGTTATGGATATGAGCTACATACAAGGCATTTGCACCGTTTATACAGATAATAGTGTATCTCGCAGGATTATGCTAACATTATCTGCTGCTGGAATTGCAATTCCATTCGTTATTATGTGCATTTGCCATACTAAAATTGTGTGGAAATTGAAACAACGTCATCGATTCTTTATTTCTGCTGCTATTTTGAAAGATCTTAAACTTCAGAACTTTCGTGAAACGAACGTGTCAAATCAAAAATTAAACAACGCGGTGAAGATTCTACGACATGTTGCTTTGAGTCAGTTTTTATGTTCTTTCTGCTGGCTATTTGGTTTTTATGCAACGGTTTTAGGGTATGCATACAAAGCTAGCCCATTTACTATCGGCTTATCGTACGCATTTATGTATGTCTGTGGAGTCTTGACAGGCTTATATGGTCCAATCCTCTATATTTTTTATATAAAAAGATTTCGCCAACCACTACAAAATTGCTTTATTGCTTTTTGGTCAATTTTAAAAGTAGCTTAACAAAACAGAAGATCTTGTCGTTTCACACGTTCTTGATACTTTGTATACGGTTTCTTGAAGTTTTTTAAGCTTAAGACTTCAAGATGCATTTTCTTAACATAGAGACGCAAAAATAATTTAAAGATTTTAATAGAATTAGTGAACTACCGTAATTAATATAACACACTACAGTTACTTAATTACTTATAACGATAAATTTATTTATAAAGACTAATTATATATAAGCAGTAATATGCTATTATGAATAATATTCGTAACTGCTGTTTTCGATGAAGGTATGAGTTATATTAAATTGCTTTAAGATAGCAAATTAATTCCATATTAGTAAGAACGATACAATCCTAGCACTACCTTGATTATGATACAATAATTAAACCCTGCGAACATCAATATTGTTTCAAATTCTAAATTGGAGGCAACACAGTGCCGTACGATTGCCGAAAACTAATATCTTCTATTAGTTATCAATTCTTATTCTCTTAATACTTAATAGTTAATTCGATAAAGGTCTCTAAACGCGTACTTGGCTGATTTGAAATAATAAATTGTGAATCGTAACTTCTCTTCCCATAAAAGTTCATACATTTTGCGTGTATTGATCTAATATCAAGAAACTTAGAACTTAAAAGTAGGAATTCATAGATTAAGCTATTGGTCCATCAAATAACAATTTCGTTACTGAAGAATCACGATTTCATATGTGTTACTAGATGAACAATTAGTATTAGCTATAAGGGCAAACTGGCTTGATGTCGATAACTTAATGAAGATATTTGCTTTTCACTGAATAAAGATCTCGTCAATTCGATAAATGAACGATATTAAATTCTAGAATATCGTAATGATAATAAAACTCTTTTTCGAATCTATTTACGACAATGATAGCGTCAGTAATAAAGCTTCAATCTATATAAAATATTAATGAAATAATAGTAATCTAGAAGAAAATTTTTAATAAATTGTTCCAAGATTTTCTAATAAGTTAATGACTTCATATTGCTGTTACCGATGACATTATAGTAAATTCATCAAATTTCAGAAATTGTTTAAATTAAGTCATAAAGCATAGAATAGATGAATTGTTAAATTGGAGTTGCATCCTCATAGATAACTTATTTAATTAATTTAAATAGTACTATGACAACGTTAATACAGCAATAAGATCACTGATGAAAATGTAGCTACCTAGGTTCGAAAACTATCTTCTTACACGTTATCAAGGTCAGATTAACTGAATAAGCTCCTACTACTATAATTAGTGGAGTAACATGAGGTAAATATGAAATAAAAAAATTTTACAGCCTTCTAATTTAAGGGAAAGAATGCTTCAAAGTAGGCATTTACCTACTTTTGACGCTACTAACGAAACTGTACGAAGCATTTAATAGATGATTTAATTAGATAGTTTAGTAGAGAAAGTAGAGAAGAGAAGTACAGATATAAGGCGAATGAAGTATTCAAATTGTTCAGAAGGTTAATCGATAATCCAATTTGTAGTTTATAAATATTCTCTTGCTTCAAATTAAATTTCTTCGATTTGATTGCATAGTAAAGGCGTAAATAAACGTACGGATATTAAGTATTTTATTAATTTGATTCGAATTAAAGTAAAAGCCATTTAAATTTGGCTAAAAGTTTTTATTTACAGCTTTACTTTACGTACCACTTCAACGGAAAATTACTCTTAATCAATTTAAGTCGATAGAAAAATTATGCATTTGCAATATCTTAAATGACTAAATTTTACTGGATAAATGAGGGCAGCAATCTACACGAGGCATATTTCGATTCGACTCTAAAATTGAGAAAAAGACGATAGTTTTTAAAGTTGTTTTTGTATACTATCGCTTAATATTATTAATTAATTTCCAATAGCAGGGATAATACAAATAATCAATTACTTGAATATCACGATACGGTCTTAGATTATTGACAGCTTTCTTGTTTACAAATGACAGGCATAAGGTTGTATTTCAAAGAGCCCTATTCAAGCATTTTCTCCAGCGTTATAATTATCGATTAGTCATAATGCCTAGCGACTTCCTGACAGATAAGGATATAATAACTCTTCGAATTATTAATTAGAAATATTCTGTATTGTTTTGTTATGCGTTAAGCCTTTTCAATAATTATTGGTTGCGTTTTGCGGTAAGGTAGAGTATGATACAGATAATCGCATTAATGATATTCATGGAGTGTAATATTGAACGATATATCAATATCGAACTAGAAAGCAGCCTCATTTTATAATGAAAGTATTATTTTATAAATCTTATATTAAAAATAACAGAAATAATACAAGTATAAAGCTACCAGATAGAAAACAAAATTAAGAGTATAATTTGACATTACAGTAAGTAAAGTTAAATTATTAATAGGCGATAAATGGTCTGAAAATCTGTTTTTTTACCAAGAATTAACGGTATTTACTTCTACCTCTACCTGTACAATATACTGAGCCTGTTTTAGATTGTATAGTCGTATAATTACCTTAGAACTAAAAGTAAGCCAAATTAAATCACTGTAATCGAAGTACTGGCTTCTATAGAAGAGCTAGACAAATGTACATAATCCGGTTACTATATGTCAAGATTGAGCATCGATCTCGACATTTATTAGCCTGAGTGATGACATTTAACGTTACTGACCGGTGCTGGTTATTTTTATCATGACATGCCATAGAAACTCTTTGACTATTAAATTATCCTATATTACATTCCATTTATTAGAATGCAAAGACTATTATCCGCTACTTAATATTAAAATTAATAATTCCTGTCTTATAAATTGTTTTCGATTCATATTCACGTTAATGATAGCCAAAGAGTGTGTTATTGAATAATATATCAATATCGAGCTAGAAAGCAGCGTCATGTTACAAGGATAGTATTATTTTATAAATCTAGCATGAAAAAATAACAGAAATAATACTAGTACAAAGCTACTAGATAGAAAATGAAAGTGAGAGTATAATTTGATAGTAAAGTGTACAGTTAAATGATTAATAGGCAACAAATAGCCTGAAAATCAGTTTTTTACCAAGAGTTAACGGTATTTGCTTCTACCTGTAAATGTATACTGAACCCGTTTTAGTCTGCATAATCGTATAATACCTTACAAGTAAAAGTAAGCCAAATTAAACCACAGTAATCGATGTACTGGCTTCTTTAGAAGAGTTAGACAAATGTACATAATCCGGTTGCTATAAACAAAGATCAAGCATCGATCTTGACATTTATCAGACAGTAATGACACTTAATATTACTGAATGGTACTGGTTATTTATATCATGAAATGCCATAGAAACTCTTGACTATTAAATTAACCTATATTACAGTCCATTTATTAAAATGCAAAAAACTATTATCCGCTGCTTAATATTTAAACAATAATCCCTGTCTTATAAATTTTTTTCAATTCATATTTGATAAACTAGCTGTTTGAGTTTTGTTCGTGATATGAAAGGATTCAAGTTTCTAATGACAATCGTTTAAGAATTCAGTTATATTTCATAAAATGTAAAGAAAATTAAAGTAATTTAAAAAGTAAGCGATCTTTACTAGGTCATTCCTAAGCGATACTGAGATCTCTTTATCATTTTACCAGTAAATTTTGTGATAATAATCCTGAAAGTATGACCCTAAATGATACTAACGCAACGCATGTAGATAATCTACTTCTACCTTTATTAACTATCATAATTACCGTTATTCTTGGCGGAATAATTACCGCGATCAGTATTATTGTTAATACTTACATCATATATATAATTTATAAAGATAAAGAAATGAGATCAGCTTCATTTTATGGATTAATGAATCTATCTTTTGCTAACTTGGTCGTTGCTGTTTTATATCCTCTGGTTCCAATCTTAGTCCTGATCACATATAATTCACCACTTCGAAATTCTCCGACTCTGAAACTAATCTTGTGCGGCTTTATTCTGCCATTACCTATGTCTGCGTTTTTAGTAATTAATGGTACATTAACGTTTATTGCCATAGAAAAGTGTTATACTATAACCTATCGTTCTCGTTCACGCCGCCGAATGCAGCGCCAGAAAGTATTCACAATTTTAATGGCTTTATGGATTATATCACTTATACAATGGCCTCGGTCTTTAATTTCCATAGAAGAAAGTTCAATTCATGCATTTTGCAGACTTTATTCTAGTTTGGATTTTATTCGAAACTCGTTGTTAATTTCAGGCACATTTATTAACGTTACACCATTAGTTATTACACTAATCTGTAATGCTAGAATTACGTGGGAATTGAAGAAACATGAACGTTTCTTTACTTCGAGAATTATATTTAGACAACTGGATGTTCCTTCGTTCCATTCTACCGAAAACTCTGGGCTACGTTTTAAAAAATCAATTAAAATGTTACGCTATATAGCCTTAG